GCTATGGGTACTCAAGACTTTCCCATGCTACACAATAGATAAAAGGCACTAATGATGCCACAAAAACAAGTAAGTGATCATGGCTAAGTGAATTCACCTTAATGCAAGCAAGTGGCATATGGTATTCTAATGTCCACAACTATTACAACTACACTAATTTAGATCACTCTACAACGTTCTATAACATACATCATATAGGATACATGGTGTGGGCAATATGTGTGCATTGAAACCAAACTCCCAAGCATGTAAAATCATCCCCACATACCCCACACTCAACCCAATATTATATACAAATGCACTTGGTTACTCAGACTTCACCGGTGCACAAAATACTCATTTAAACATTTTAGCAAATACCCTGCGGGCATGAAGTGTGTGCATTCTAGTTGAACAATGGTAGAATATGGTGACCCTCCCAAATTTCAACGAAGTAGAGAGAATTCTAGTTTACTACTTCGTATACAAAATAACCACACAATATTCGACCAATCCGGACCACCCACCATAAAAAATTCTTAAGAAACTACATAGTGGAAAATTTGGGGATTAGGGCAATTGAGGGGATGGGAAACTCATGGTTATTGACCTATTAGAATACAAAAAGAAGAAGAATAAGAAGATAAATAAGAACATACCTGTAGCGTTTAGGAGGAGATCAAAAGAAGAACTTGAGAAATTTTTGAGAGAGGGATGAAGAAGCTCGGCAGAAGCAGGAGCTAGAGAGAGAGATGCGTTTTAGTTTTTGGGTGGAGAGTGTTTTAGCTATGTTTTTAATTTGTTATGGGTGGGTATGGGTTATAAGATGGGTTTTAGTATGAGAGCATATGGGTAGATGGGTTGGGTTAGTGGGTATGGGAATTACGTTAATAATCAAAATTGAAAAAGAAAAGAAAAAAAAATTACATGGTCCCCCCCAGCCCAGCGCTCCGCGCTATGCCTGGCGCTGGGGGTTTGGAACATTCTGCCTTCAGCGCCCCAGGTAGCATGAGGCGTTGACCTGGGCACTGTTTCGATGATTTTTTTTTTATTATTATTATTATTATTATTATTATTTTTTTTTTATAACTTCTCAATCCCCCAAACCTTTTATATATCCAATTTACATATCCATACCATTCTACCTATAATTTCTATGCCTACAAAGAAAATGCAAACTTTAGTCTACTCTAACTAAAATAATTAGAAAGCTAAGCTATGAAAGCAATAAAAATTGGGTTGCCTCCCAATAAGCGCCTGATTTAACGTCACGACATGACACAAGGCCTCGCATACTCGTCAGCGAGTACAACTTTGGTCTTCTCACGATCAATTATTCCTCCCCAATAGTGCTTTACCTTATGTCCATTCACGACAAAATTTCTTTCACCATTTAACACACGCAGCTCAATTGCACCATAAGGAGTGACTCTTACCACCTTAAAAGGGCCTGACCATCTCGACTTTAACTTCCCAGGAAATAACTTGAGCCTAGAATTGAGCAATAATACTTGTTGGCCTGGCTCGAAGTGACGTGTCTTGATACACTTGTCATGCCATCTTTTAGTCCTCTCTTTATATAGCTTAGCATTTTCATAAGAGTACAGCCTGAACTCATCTAATTCATTCAACTGCAAGAGTCTTTTCTCACCCGCGGCTTCAAGGTTCATATTCAACTTTTTGATGGCCCAGTACGTTTTGTGTTCAAGTTCAACCGGCAAGTGACATGCCTTCCCATAAACAAGCTTATACGACGATGCCCCAATTGGTGTTTTATATGCAGTTCTATATGCCCACAAGGCATCATCTAACTTTGCAGCCCAATCCTTCCTATTTACGTTCACCGTCTTCTTTAAAATTTGCTTTATTTCTCTGTTCGACACCTCAGCTTGCCCACTTGTTTGAGGATGATATGTTGTCGCAACTCTATGGCGGACTCCATATTTAGCTAGAAGGCTATTCAATAACCGATTGCAAAAGTGTGTCCCTTCATCACTTATCAAAGCACGTGGAGTTCCAAACCTCGAAAATATGTTCTTTTTCACAAACGCAGCTACCACCATGGCATCATTTGTTGGCAATGCGATCGCCTCTACCCATTTTGACACGTAGTCAACTGCTAGCAAAATGTATTTTTTTCCTCTGGACAATGGGAATGGTCCCATAAAATCTATCTCCCATACATTAAAAATCTCAACCTCTAGGATATTATTCAAAGGCATCTCATGCCTCCTAGTGATTGTTCCTATTCTCTAACATTGGTCACACTTCTTAACAAATGCATGGGCATCCTTGAATAAAGTTGGCCAAAAGAAACCGGATTGTAATACCTTTGCAGCTATTCTATCTCCTCCATGATGGCCCCCATAAGGTGATGCATGACAATCATATAACACTAACTCTACCTCCTTTTCTGGAATGCATCTCCTCATTACCTAATCAGCACATTGCTTGTACAAATATGGCTCATCCCAATAGTAGAAGTTCACATCATGTAAAAACCTCTTTCTAGCTTCAGATTCAATTTCACGAGGAAGTACCCCACTCATGAGATAATTCACATAGTCTGCGTACCATGGGGGAGGGTCTTGGGTGATAGCAAAGAGTTGCTCATCAGGAAATACTTCTTTAATTTGGCCACCCTCCTCCACGTGGTCGTGATTTTTTAGCCTTGATAGATGGTCAGCTACTTGGTTCTCTGTGCCCTTTCGATCTCATATTTCTACATCAAATTCCCGCAACAACAAAACCCAGTACATCAATCTAGCCTTGAATTTTTTTTTTGTAAATAAATACCTGATTGCTGCATGATCGGTATGGACTATGACTTTTGTTCCCACCAAGTATGCCCGAAATTTCTCAAAGGCCCACACAACGACTAATAACTCCTTTTCAGTGGTGGTGTAATTCAGTTGTGCATCATCAAGAGTCTTACTCACATAGTAAATGGAATAAAACACCTTGTCTTTCCTATGGCCTAGTATTGCCCCAATAGCATGGTCACTCGCATCACACATAAGTTCAATTGGTAAGGACCAATCTGGTACTACAATAATGGGAGCAGCCACCAACTTCTTTTTGGTTCTTCAAATGCCTTGAGGCAGGAATCATCAAAATTGAAAGTTACATCTTTTTCAAGTAACCTGCACAAAGGAGTAGCAATTTTAGAAAAATCTTTAATAAATCGTCGATAGAATCCCGCGTGTCCTAAGAAACTCCGGACACCCTTCACAGAAATAGGTGGAGGTAATTTTTCAACTGCCTCCACCTTCGTCTTATCAACTTCAATGCCGCTCCTAGACACTCTGTGACCCAACACGATGCCTTCTTGCACCATAAAATGGCACTTTTTCTAATTCAATACCAGATTTGTTTCTTCACAACGGGCAAACACCTTGCTCAAATTCTTCAAACAATCATCATAAGAAGACCCAAAGACTAAAAAATCATCCATAAAATCTTCCACAAATTTTTTCACCATATCGGTGAAAATAGCCATCATGCATCTCTGGAAAGTAGGTGGTGCATTACAAAGACCAAACGACATTTGTTTGAAGGCGAAAGTGCCATAAGGACAAGTAAAAGTGGTCTTCTTCTGATCCTATGGGCATATGACTATCTGATTGTATCTCGAATAACCATCAAGGAAACAATAATATTCATTCCCCGGTAATCTGTCCAATATTTGGTCAATGAATGGAAGTGGAAAGTGGTCCTTGTGGGTTGCTTTGTTGAGCCTTCTATAATCAATGCAGACTCTCCACCCCGTCACAGTGCGAGTAGGAATTAGCTCATTTTTCTCATTCTCAATCACAGTCATCCCCCCCCTTTTTGGGCACACATTGAACTGGGCTTACCCAGTTGCTGTCATAAATAGGAAAGATGATACCTGCATCGAGCAACTTGATTACTTCATTCTTCACGACCTCCTTCATAATTGGATTTAACCTCCTTTGCTTCTCAATGCTAGGGCGGTGTCCATCTTCCAAGAAGATTTTATGCATGCAAAATGATTGATTGATTCACTTGATGCCAGCAATTGTCCACCCAATAGCCTTTTTATGCTCGCGAAGTACTCTGAGCAAATTTTCTTCTTGTGTCTTAGTCAAGCTGGATGAGATAATCACGGGCAATGTCTCAGAGTTCCCCAAATAAGCATAGCGCAGATGCGCTGGTAGGGGCTTAAGTTCTAGCTTTGGAGCTTCTTCAATAGATGGCTTAGGAGGGGTCAGAGTGACAGGCCTGTCCAACTCCTCAAATTTTCCAAACCCATGGACATAACTGCAGGACATATCAAGTACTTGCTCAATTTCTCCCATCATTTCATCTTTGATGTCTTTTTCATCCCCAATCAAATCTCGTTCAAGAGGATCTATAGGGCTCATATAAGGTACTAATGATGTAGCATCACTTTCCACCACAGAAATCATGGATAGCTCTTCATAGTGGGCTGGCAATATGAGTGCTTTATATACATTGAATACCTCCACTCGATCGCCTACTCTCATCGTTATCTTTCCTTCGTAAACATCAATAATAGCTCGGTCAGTGGCTAAAAATGGATGCCCTAAAATTAATGGGACTTCCTGATCAGGCTCGTAGTCCAAGATAATGAAATCACCAGGGAATATGAAAGAATCCACTTAAACTAACACATCTTCAATCACTCCTTCAGGAAGAGCAAGGGAGTGATCAACCAACTACAAGATTACCATTATTGGGCGTGGCTCACCCAACCCCAACTGTTTGAACACAGACAGCAGCATCAAATTAATGCTCGCTCCAAGATCACATAAGGCTCGCCCGACTGTATGCTTACCAATCGAGATTTGGATAGTGAAACTACCCGGATCCTTCAATTTCTGAGGTAGCTTGCTTTGAATTCTTGAGCTACATTCCTCAGTGAGTGCCACGGTCTCGAACTCGGTCAACCTCCTTTTATTTGCCACTATGTCCTTGATGTATTTTGCATATTTGGACATTTCTTGCAAGATGTCTACCAAAGGAATATTAATTTGCACCTACTTAAAAATATCAAGAAACTTCTTATACGCGGCATTATCTTTCAGCTTCTGCAATCTTTGAGGGAACGGAAGTGGTGGCCTCGCAACAAATGGTGGAGGTTGCTTAGCCACCGCCTCTTCAGCTGGCTTCTCAGATTCCTTTGATTTTTTTGATTCTGACTCTATAGTGGCTGACCTCTCATTAAAAGTCACATGTTTTCTCTTTTTCGATTGGACTTCTTCTAATTGTCTCCCATTTCTCAATGACATGGCATTAATGGATGCCTTAAGATTAGCTTCAGTGTCACTTGGAAGAGCTCCAACTGGTCTAGTATTTTGGGCACTGGCAAGTTATCCCACTTGGCGCTCCAAATTTCTCATTGTTGTGGCTTGGGCTTGCTGATCAGCCATTAATTTCTTTATCATTTCCTCAAGGTAACTTGTTGAGTTTGCCTGTTGTTCAGCATGAGGTGGTCTATATTGTTATTGAGGTGCTTGTGGTCGGTATTGATTCCGAGCACCTTGATTTCCACCCCAAGAGAAGTTTGGGTGGTTCCTCCAGTTAGGATAGTAAGTGTTCCCATATTAGTTTGTCTGGCCCCTATTTACATTACGCACAAAGCAAACCGACTCTGGATTAACTGGGCATAAGTCGTTCGTGTGACCCTCTCCACATACTTCACAAAACACTTGAACCTGTTGCACTGGTTGAGCTTGTTGATTGTTAATAACCATGGTCATCTGATTGACTTGGTTGGTCAATGTAGAAATCTGCGCTGATAATGCCGAGACGACATCTAACTCGAAAACCCCTACAGATTTTTGTACCATGTGTCTGCCCATTTCTCTTTGCCAATCCGGATTGCTTTTGGAGAATTTGTTCAATAATGCATATATCTCGTCAAAGCTTTTCTCCAACACTTGACCTCCAGCTGCAACATCTACCATAATTTTTGTTTCAGGATGGAGCCCTTCTATGAAAGTGTGAGCTAATACTTCGTTTGTCTGATTGTGATAAGGACAGTCTCTGAGTAGCCCCTTGAACCTCTCCCAAGCTGAGTATAAAGACTCCCCCGCTTTCTGTTTGAAGGCGACTATCTTACTTCTGATCTTTGCAGTTTTGCCTGAAGGAAAGAACCTTGCCAGAAATTTCCTTGCCAGATCATTCCATGATGTAATAGAATTAGTTGGTTCTCCCTTCAGCCATCGCTTTACTTCGCCCAACAGAGAGAATGAAAAAAGTGTGAGCCTTACATAGTCTGGAGTGACCCCGTTAGTGATATAAGTATCACTAATTTCCAAGAAGTTCAGGATATGCTGTTGTGGATCCTCGTGTGGAAGACCCATAAACTGCCCATTCGTATGAAGTAGCTGGATCATGCTCTATTTCAGCTCAAAGTGCCCAGTGATCCTGGGCTTCACAATGCTGGAGGTGACATTAGCAATGCTGGGCATTGCCACCTCCTGAACAACCATATGTTCCTCTGCCATGTTCACAGGAAATTGAACAAGTGCCTGAATATTATTCGTGTCCCTTGCTTCCCTCAACCTCATATGAAATATTCTCTCAGGTTCGGGGTCAAAGCCTTGAAGTCGGTCATGGCTTTTGACCCTGCACATTCAATCAAAGTTTCTGAGATCAGAGCAACAGTCAAGTAACGTTAGACTTGACGAAATAAACAATTAAAGTAGAAACTAGAAAGTAGTCAATATTCAAGTCCCCGGCAACGACGCCAAAAACTTGTTGCTCCCAAACGCACACGCAAGTATACGTGGTCGTACAAGTAATAAAATGATAAGTCGAGTGTCGAGCCCACAGATACTTGTATCAACTACCCACTAAATTTACCAAGATTGTTATTTAGTCAAGCCAAATTCGAGTTCAAGAATGTGATTATACTAAACTATAATTTTAAGTAGTAACTAAATTATCAAGTAGCAAAATAATTATGGTGTATTCAATAGAGACAGATATTCCAGGGTTGTGACCGATTCACTAATTATATTGTGTTCTAGTTAACTCTCCCTTTCATACAATTTNATCACAGAATTGAAGAAATAACCATATATTAGTGAATTGTAATCAAGGTTAAGTCAACGTTAAATAACAATATTCATAGCTAAATCACAACCCCAGAACTATGGGTTTTAGCCACTCATGATAATAGCAAACAATTTCATAAGTGTTGGATAATTGAAAATACTAAGAAAAGATGAAGAAAACTGAGATCTCTTCACTCCTGAATGTTTCTCGTGTGTCTTCCCCCTTCCAAGTGGCGTCTCCCCTCTAAAAATAAGCTTAGTCTTGCTTTTATACGTGTTGGGTAGGTCTAGGGCCGAAATAACCTTATCCCGGGTAAAGTTGGACAAAATTCACGCCACCAGCGCCCTGCCCAGCCCAGCGCTAGGCGCCGTTCCTGGCGCTGACAATTTGCCAACACTGCCTCTGGCGCCACAAGTAGCGTGGGGCGCTGCCTGTGGCGCTGAAAATGCCATCTTTGCCTTTCTCGTCCGTTTTGGCTCTAATCTCGCACATTTCACTTTTAATTGCTCTCGAATCATTCATACACATCACAACACCTCAAATTAATATAAATCAATACATTTTACATCCTAAAGTCACGAAACAAGAGTAAAACATGAGGCGATATATATATAAATATATATATACTTTAAACTAAACATCTGTGGCCATGGCCCGACGTCGGACACGGCCATGGCACGATGTCGGACGTGGCGGGGTGTGGCCATGGCACGACGTCGTACCAAGTCGCTCCACGTCGCACCATGTCTAGTTGAAGGCCGTGTTGTTGTTGTGGGTTGTGCCCGGTTGTTGCATCGCTCGTGACAGCTGCTGGCTTTTGGCAACAGAACGGTGAGGCCTCGTGCAAGTAGCGCCGCAAGGTGCCGTGCGCATGGGGATGAGTTTAGTACATGTTGAAGGTCGGCATTGCTCGTGTTCCTATAAAAAAAAGTTCTCATAATAAATATTTTTAAGCATTCCATATCTGTTGAAGAAAGCGAGAAGAAAAGAAATGAAAGAGAAATGATTTAAAAAGTACAATATATTTTAGAATGAATGAAAGAAAGTTTGAAAATTAGAAAATTGCTTTGCAATTACACTGTGTAACTATCATCAATTTTTGCTTCTTGACAACTAAAGAATGTAATTGTTCTCACTCAATTCTATTTTGACCAAGTATTTCCCTAAATAGACACACCAAAACTGTATAATTATATCTAATCTAATTTTAAAATGACTTTCCAAACAAACCCTTTAAAAACAAACACCTAGCTCCAAAATTAGACTATCAAATGCATTATTTCATCGATAATATAACTGAAAGATACAAAGAGAAGCAGGGCATAAGACCAAATATACTTCATTAATTAAGACAAAACCAGGAAACTTGTGCCACTTCAATTCCCTAAGGTAATGTAGATTAAGAAAAGTTGTTCCAGGTTTGGTGGGTATCTATACTATAAATTCAAAATTCAATATTTATTAAATTTTATAATTTTTTATATGCAAATTCAAGTTTCATGTAAAAAAATTCGATTCATTGAAAGCTCAGCTCAAAAGCTATATCCGTCAGTTCAGTTTTCATTAATTGCAACTAGGTCCCTTCTTTAACCCTTATATAAATACATATATAATTAGCGTAATATCTATGTGGTAGTTGTCCCATTGGCGTCGCCATATAAGAGCAAGGGTAATAAAGAGGACGACCTCGAGTCTTTCATCAATTCACAGTATGGCTCAAAGAGGTACACTATCACCCTTGCTAATCTAAATTATATTATATGCTGATATCATGTTTGATCTTGAGTTATATCGTGTAAATATTTTTACACAAGGAACATGGTGTCGTTACGCTAATGATGATTACAAGTGGTTCTTGATTACGATTTTGCAGTTGCATTGATGGTGAATGTGTAGGCTGATGAAATGCTGGTGGGTCTGAAGATTCCAAGAGGTGGGCTATTTGAATATGTGTGCTGCCCAAATTATTTGGGGAAGATAATGTAGAAATGGCACCAATTGTAGCTGATTTGAAGAGCACCATTGAAAATATTTTAAGGTTTTAAAACTTATTTAGAATTTAGCTAGATTTGACATGCTTCAGACTTCTCCCGTTCCTCTTTCTTCTTCAGACTTTTGAGTTTGAAGTTTTAAACTACCAAAATCAAACTTCTGACGTTTGATTTTGACAGTTTAAACTTTAGACCTACATCGGCTATTTTTGCACTTTGTTCGAAGACAATGGAGTAATTGTGCTGGGCTTTGATTACATGGTCTTAGTTGGGTTTGCTTCTTTCTTATTCACTTGAACCAATTTGGTTCCTAGAGCTTGTTCAACTCATAATTCATTACATGGTCTTATTATGTTTTTCTTATTGAGATTTTATTGAGTTGTGATTATGTAAGGTGTTAAGACTGAACATGAGAACTCAACCCAAAAATACTAATCTATTAGCAATGGCGGAGCCAGGATTTTCACTAAGAGGTGTCAAAATATAAGAAATTAAATACACCAAAAAAATCAAGGGGGAGATAACTTATAGTAAATATACACAAAATAAAAAAAATTTATATAACAATACAGTGTAATTTTAACACCCCTTGGTTGAATGTATTAGATGAGAGAGTCCATTTAGCCTATAAACTCATCACAAATACTCTTTTTAATTAATAAGAGACTCAACTGATTCGTAACAATTACACCCGTTTAAGGACCAACGAACTTGTTGGTTCACAACAAGTACTCTTCTTATTAGCTGAGGAGTGGTTTACATGTTTACAAGCTGATAATGAAAAGCCATATATCTAATTAATAGATTCAAGTGTCTTATGGTTGTTCCTAAGATCACTTAATAACAAAAAAAAAACTCATAGTTAGACCTTTCATAATTTTCTTAATTGTTGTAATAAAACGAAACAGAAAGCTTGTAACAAAAGAAAAAAAGACACCATTATTAACTTGAGAATGAAGAGAGGAAAAATGTCAGCTATAAGTCTATAACTTAGATCGATCAAGCCAAGAAACTTAGCCAGCTGGCTATATTTGTCCTGTAAACGTGGCACCCAATATTATTTCCCAGTTGGCATGCTGTTTTCTCCTCTAAATTAATCATTTTTTTTGTTTTCATTTGGCCCCATAATATATATTTTTTCTCAAGTTGGCCCTTTTGACTTTAACTCGTACGTACTATTTTATTCAAACACCACACGCTTTAGCTTACCTTAGCCTTAAGCTAGATAAACTTCCACAAATTAAGAGATGCTAAAATACCCAATGTCAACGCCTTTCCCCTATCCTCACCTCCATTGAAATCAGACGGCGATCTACAATTTAAGATTTATGAGTTTAATCTTTAAAATTTATTATATTTTTAAATTATGATTTTAACTTACAAGTCGTCATTTATAATTTTAATAATTTCTTACATATTATTTTATACTCTACGTTGAAAGTACTTTTTTTTTTTAGATGAACCAACCGTACAATGTTGTATTTGCCTATGCTTGAACATCAGACAAATTAAACATTTATAAAATAAATAATAATAAAAAGGAAAATAGTGAACTGCCACCCAAAGGGGCATCGAATAAGTAATAAGTACAATAACGTAATATTCTTAATTTTCATGTATCCAAAGTCAACTCCCCCATACTTTTTGGTTCTCTGTCTCTTTACTTTTTTCCTCTTCATATTTATGAATTTAAATGCTAAAGCTTCATCAATAACCACCTGCTATAAACTTTCAAATTTCAATCTTGATATTCCTCTCTTCTTTTCTCATGGACTTACAGCTTTATTCTCTCCCTAATTATTCACTTTGAAATAGTATTATCTCCATAAAAATCTTATGCAGCAAAAAGATGTCCTTCTCAACATGTTAAGCCCGAGCAATTAGCTGCTGCAAGATTGGACGTCTATCTATTTCACTGCAATCCTAAGTCGAAGACCAATCAGAAGTGCTTCTTACTTGAATATTCATCAAATTTGCTTGATATTTTTAACTTATCAAATAAAGGATGGGAAACGGAATTGGAAAGTTGAAGCAGTGTTTTGCAGGAGATGTTGGAGAAATCTCAAAACGACGCCATGATATTGGCGTAGACCTCTTTGATACTCTTGACAGAGGATTAGGCCATTCTTTTTGCTACATCTTGCATGATTCATCATCCAAGAATCACCCTTTTTCAGAAGACTCCTCTTCTTCCACCACTACCACTATCTCCAGTGCCAGCAGCAGCAGCCAAACGACGGCGTTTCGCACCATCTCCGGCGCCTCTATCTCCGCCAACGCCTCCACGCCTCTGTCCACTGCCCTCGTCGACGTTTGCCCTTCAAAAACCAATACTTATATAGAGAAGTCGTCAGCTTTTGAAAGCTCACAGTGGTTTTCTTCTTTCCCTCTTCAGCCAATTCCCAGGAGATCAATTTGTTCGGGCCCTATTCCCCGAGTTTCTACCTTGGGCCCGGTCGATAGGGGATTCCTCTCCGGTCCAATAGAGCGGAGTTTCAACTCCGGTCCATTGGACAATCAGTATGATCAGCTCCAAAGGTACAAACCTGAGTCTAGTAAATGGCATTTAGTTAGGAATTTAAAGAAAGTTTTATCAAGCTCTCTTTTGGGGTTTCAAGAAATGAATTTGGCAGAGGAGAAAAATGCGATTAAAGACCCATTGATTAATAGTTTGAGTAGTGAAAACAGTTTGGCTGATGAAGATGAGGAAAATGAATTATTTAGAAGTCAAAATGTGCAGTGGGCAGAGGGAAAAGCAGGGGAAGACAGAGTACATGTAGTGATTTCTGAAGAACATGGTTGGGTTTTTGTTGGGATTTATGATGGATTTAATGGACCTGATGCTACTGATTTTCTACTGAAGAATCTTTATTCAAATGTATTCAAGGAACTCAAGGGACTGCTATGGAATGACAAGTTAGATACCTCCGAAAATTTCATGTGTAACGAGACAGTTATCGTTCAGAATCAAGAATTAGATCAATCAAAATCGAACAATTCAGGACCTGACACAGTTGCTAGTATTAACCATTTAGACGTGTTGAAGGCGTTATCAGAGGCGCTGAGAAGAACCGAGGCATCATATTTGGAGATCACAGATATGATGGTGAACGAGAACCCCGAATTGGCCTTAATGGGATCTTGTGTTTTAGTTATGATGATGAGAGGAAAAGATGTTTATTTGATGAATGTTGGAGATAGCAGAGCTGTTTTAGCTCAAAATCCTGAATCCGATCGTTCCATTTGTAATTTGGATCGGATAAATGAGGAGAGTCTAAATAACATTGATGCACAACTCTACAGAACTGATTCAGATCGAAAGCACAATCTAACTTCTTGTCAACTTACTATGGATCATAGCACATCTGTTAAAGAGGTACCAATTCTAGTCTATTCTACTTAAGTCGATGTATGAAAATATCAGTCTTCACTGTCTCAAAGGGGAGCTTCATCATAACTGGTAAAGTTGCTGCCATGTGATCGGGAGGTCACGGGTTCGAGCCGTGAAAACAGCCTCGTGCAGAAATGCAGAGTAAGGCTGCATACAATAGATCCTTGTGGTCCGGCCCTTCCCTGAACCGTTTAGTGCACCGGGTTGCCCTTTTACTGTTTCATAGACTAATTCTTATGTTTGTCTGATAAATTTTTGCAGGAAGTTGTTAGGATTAGAAGTGAGCATCCTGACGACGCTTCTGCTATAAAAAAAGATAGAGTAAAAGGTTCTTTAAACGTTACTCGAGCTTTCGGAGCAGGTTATCTCAAGCAGGTACACATAACCTTTGAGAAATATGATTTCTTGAAATTTAACTAGAATTATTCCTGGTGTTAACTTCATTTACTTGTTTGATTTTATAGCCCAAATGGAACAATGCACTTCTAAAGGTTTTCAGAATAGACTACGTTGGAAATTCGCCTTATATCAACTGTTTACCATCGCTTTACCACCACAGACTTAGCCCAAGAGACAGATTTCTGATCTTATCATCTGACGGACTTTACCAATATTTCAACAATAAAGAAGCAGTTGCTGAAGTTGAGACCTTTATGTCTATATTTCCCGAGGGAGATCCCGCGCAACATCTTGTTGAAGAAGTGTTATTTAGAGCTGCAAAGAAAGCTGGTAAATACTCATATACTCAATCTGTACTAGAGAAATTTCTAAGTACTAATTTCTCATATAAATCTAACTCTAGAAAACTTTGTTTTCTGATATTCTAGGTATGGACTTCCATGAGTTACTTGATATACCACAAGGGGATCGTAGGAAGTACCACGATGATGTCTCGATTATCATCATATCGTTCGAAGGAAGGATATGGAGATCATCTGTGTAAATCAGGGCAGTCCGGTGCACTAAGCTCCCGCTATGCATGGGGTCCGGAGAAGGGCCAGACCACAAGGATCTATTGTACGCAGTCTTACCCTACATTTCTACAAAAGGTTGTTTCCATGACTCGAACCCTTGACCTCCTAGTCACATGGCAACAACTTTACTAGTTACGCCAAGACTCCCTTCCATATGTGTAAATCAGCAGAAAAGAATATAAAGATCAAACTAATTTTGCTTATTAACTTTTGTTACTCCATTTTAGTGGAAGTGTTTATAGTAGTACACAACTTAGGGTGCTATACAAGATAAGAGAGGCTGATGTTTTCTTGTTAAGGGGATTGTAAAGGTGCCAATGAAATTGCCCCTTTTTCCCTTCCAAATATAATAGGATAATTTGTAACAGATTGTGCTCTTTGTATATATATTCCTAGTCCTAGGTGTCCACTACACAAACTGATGCCTAAATAGACTCGACCAATTGGTCGAAATTTATTTTGTTTGTTTCATACTTTTGTTCTAGTATCAGATTACTCAAATCTCGTACTTACTTTTTGAGTAGTTGTAAGTGCAAAACCAACACTTAATATAACTTATCCAACAAGAATCTGCTAAAGGAATAAGGATATTAGAATAATGGATGGCATAATGTTAAAAGCAAATGAAATGACAAAGAGGGAATGGTTGGGACTAGAAGTGCTCGTGGAATTTTTTTCCTTTCCATTATCCATATTTATTAGGGTATTAAAATGTTAAAATAAAGAATTAATTGTTGGTGGAAACTTGAACTACACTGCTGATTTTGTTTAATCATGAATGATCCTAGTGATTTTGGTAATCACCAATGATCATGAGGCGGGTGAAAACTATTAGTGGTTTGGTTACCGGGATAAGGATATTAATTCTTGTATAAAATTTGAGATTATATCTATTCCATGTTTGGTTATGGGAATTAGCTAAAAACGGAATAAATTACTAAAATCTTAGTATCTATCGCGATTATAATCCAATGATAACAGAGAGAGACAAACACTTTGGTGCTTTCTTTTCATTTGCCTAAGCTTTGGCAGGCAGAATTATGTGGTACTCGTTCTTGGCGGGTAATATAAGATATACAGTGAAATAGTTGAGGTGTGCTTAAACTGGCATGGACAGAAAAAAGAAAAAAAAAGGGTATTGGTCATGACTAGTGGTTCCAAAATGGATTAAAAACAGTTATATATCCATATTATCCACTAAAAAAGGGTTGAATAATGAATTTTTTTTTAAAATGAGTTAAATATGGATAAGAACCATATTATCCACTTAAAAATGGATAACCAATGAGTTTAACTTTTACATTTACGAAGACTCAAATGGGGTGCCTCAAGTTTGGGACTAAGAATTCCCCCAAAAATGGTCATATTCAAGAAGCAATGGATAATATGGATATTCATGTTATTCGCCGGTTAAATCATTTTCTATCCGTATTAAATATGAGTCGGATTGAATATTTTACCGGTTTGCCGCCAGTGGTCATGACCAATCTGGTTAGTTTGTGTGGAACTTTCAATTGAATTAATTGCGAAAAGACAATGTGATACCACAGTTCACTAATTTGTTTATTATCGAAAGGCCTCGAAAGATCACTAGAATAAATGCTCATGAAATTCAACTTCTTGCGTCTGAAAAGATCCTCGAAGTATCTTGTAGTAGGATTTAGTGTATGAAATGGACAAGAACCCAATTTTCAAGATCCGTTGGAATTCTCCAGTTGAAGAAGACTTTTAGTACTTAATCCTCTGTTGCTCCCTAAATGGAAAGTAGTTGGCCATAAATGTAGATAGTCAATTAAGCTGATCATGATTTTCAATAAATATAGTCAATTAAGTTCATGATTTGCAATAAACCTAATCGTTTTCTTTGCTAATCCAATCCACTAAGTGAGAGAGCCATATAAGTCATGGTTGTGATGTGACTCACGAAATATTGAGAAAGGAGTTGCGTATTGGTCTAGTTAGAAAAAACAGTAGCACCTGACCTGTTTGTAAATTACTACTACTACTATTATTATTATTATTATTACTATTATTATTATTATTATGCAGTATGGAGCATGACTTGTTAATACAAAACTAAGAAAGAAACAAACAACATGGAAGTGGTTGACTCTAAGCGAACAGACAAAAAGCTTACATTATAAGCCAAGGTTGCTTTTAAAATTTTTTATTGAGATGGTTCGTCAGCTTATAATAATATATAAAGGGAAAAACCATCCGGATTTATGGTTAGTAGGGGTGTACAAAAAAAATTGATAAATCACACCAAACCGATAATTCAAATTAAACCGGAAAAAAACCCGATATGGTTTGGTTTGATTTGGTTTGGTATTGGAAAATAAAACCGGACCATAATTGGTTTGGTTTGATTTTAACTAAAAAAAGTCAAACCGAAACCAAACCAACCCGATAATACATTTATATAATTTTAAAAAATATTTTATACATATAAATATTTATTGTAATGTAATTTATAAATATTTCTTAAACTTTTTCACAATTTTATCTTTTAACGTATTATTTCAAGTTTAGACTTAACATTCTTGAATGGTAAATAAATTTTAAAGCCCATAAATGTAGTAACTCAAACAAAGTTCAAATCAATACTAATGCTAACAAAAGAAATTCAATTCAATACTGGGAATGACGATAGTGTTGAATAATTATTTTAGTTTTACATTGGTTTATAATGAAAATGCATAACGTAGTTTATCTTTTTCTTTAGTGCTTAATTATGTAATTAATATTAGTACTTATTAGCTATACTTATTTTAGCATGACCTATATAGTATTTTTAGATTATGTTAATTTTTATTATGGCTTATTAATTAGCAATATTTATTTTATGTAATTTTATTATTTTATCTTTGTTATTAAATATTTTAGTATAATACTATGACTTATCTCATATTATTGTGTTAGTTTCTTGGAAAATACATTATATAGTTGTATTTTACTAGGACTTAAGAAATATTTGGAGCACAAGTTGCATATTTTATGCTATGAAGACTTTACCGGAAAAAACCTCGAAAAACCCGAGAAAAATCGAGATTGAAAAACCCGACTTTATTGGTTTGGTTTGATTTATAAATTTAAAAATCCAACACCATTGATTTGGTTTGATAATTAAAAAATCCGAACCAACCCAACCTATGTACACCCCTAGTGGTGACATAGTTGAAATTTCTTCATCGTTAATCAGATGTCTCAGGTTCGAATAATTGAAATATAAAATCTTTTGGTAAAAAATGTTTTATGCTCTTAGCATGCTTACTTGCAGGGGTGTATCTACCTTAAGGGATATTCACGTGAACTCATACTCCTTTCTTTAAATCATGTATAACAATGTTACTTATATTTCTTTAAAATTACTTAAATATACGTGTGTGCACCTATACTTAAAAGACTCCTATGGTGTAATAATTATTGGGTGCACTTCTACAAGCAAAATTGACGGTTCAAATTCTACTTCGGACGGTCTTATTTTTGCACGGAGTATAGATATATATGTGAAAATTACTAAAATAAATTCAAAAAGAATATAATTTTGAACCTATAATTTCAAAAGTATAGTGAATTCATGGTAAGAGACTAAAGTTAAACTCGTCAAATGTAAATTCTAGATCCACCTTTTCACAATAGTACACCCATCATCTTGAAATCTTGGATCTGTCTCTACTTACTTGACATGAATTTGGATTATTGGAACTAATGAATTTCAAAATATCAAATACCTAAAGCAAAATAAATAATTTGAATAAATAAATAAAGGGAAGAAAAATAAAACAAAGAAAAAAGAGGAGCTGCTTAGGTTTTTCATGCCAAACAAGTATGAGAACGTTGCAATGACATGCATGAACGTGGAGGGGAAAATTAAAATTCAGCTACGTGAAAGCTAAAGATTATTGGACAGTTGCTTGTAGTTTTGGCATCTCGAAAATCTCGTGAACTTATTTATAAATATTATAAAGTCTTAAAAGTTAATGAAAATGAAAAACTGAAAATAAATAAATGTTCAAATTACAGAGGAGTTGGTTTTGATTTTTGGACTATCACTATCACACACACGAACCATCATAGAGATGGTGATGGTTTCACTAAAAAATAGTCAAAAGAAGAAATTGTTTTTAGAAATCTTACAAATTATATGTTTTCTAAAGTATTTCCAAGTGTTACCTATAAGGCTATAACTGATCCCAAATTTTTTGGTTGACGATTGAAAAAATGAAAATTCTGAAATCTTTGAAGTTGAAATTTGCAGATAAAGAGAAAAGGATAATTCCTATGAGGGAAAACAGACCTTTAGAAATATCGATCAAAGAAATTATTACAATTTACTTTTATTTTTATTTTCATAGTTTTCAAAAAAGTGATGAAGTACAAAGTCTACCATTATTAATAAACGAATTACATCAAACGATAGATGAGATATAGAGCATGTTTAATCGATCACAGATTAAACTTCAAACTTTAAATTACAACTTGTGCATATAAGATAAAGATAAAATCAAAATCCATCCTGCTATCGAGAAGAGTTAAATACAATACTTAAATTTATTAAGATTACATTTGAGCTAAATTTATTGGCATGAATTGTACAAAATGGCCACCACCATCAAGTGATTGTTTATAAAATAACGTAAAGGTACTCTTTTACAATGAAACTATATAGAAAATTTTATTCTCACTTTGAGATTCTCCAAAATGAAAATGATTTAATCTTCTTCTATCCAAGATGGTCTTAATTTGGTTTATACATTAATGAATCAAATAAAAAGAGCCACTCGGTGCACAAGGCATCTCGTGATCAGATTGAGTCCAGGAAAAGGCCGTACCCAAGGGGTAAAATGTCGACAGCCTACCCTCATTAGTGATTGCTTTCACGGCTCGAACTCGTGACATATAGGTCATATAGAGACAACTCTACCGTTGCTCTTCAACATTAGTGAATCAAATCGTAATGATAATTTCTTGGATAAAGGATCCTAGTTGGATTATTTAGGATTTGTTCGGTACAAATTGCAAAGTCAAACTACATTAATCGATGGATATACACAGATATTTTATGTTTAGGAAACTCCTAATTGGTTTAATTTAAAAGTTGGAAGAACCCAATCTGGCATCCACTTTCTAGAAGATCAAAATGACTCCTAAAATATTAGCACTTGCTGCCTTAGCATTTATACTCTTATGTAGTTTAATA